TAAAATAAAAATAATTCAGTGAGAGAAAGTTGATTGGCTGAGTGAATAGTGTAGTTGTTCTTTTAGAGAGAATTGACCTTGAAAACACAGGCAAAGACAGAACTGTGAACTCAAATCTATTCTCCTTTTGTAGGTCCATGGGTCAACTATGTTTCCCAGATTGCTTGAGGCCAAATGTCTAAGTTTTTCCAGCAGTGAAGTGTGTACCTCCCAGGCATGGCCCACAGAAAACTCTATTTTTACTTTTCCATCTCCATCTTCTTCTGTCTTCTGGCACATCTATTAGCTGTCTCCAGGCAACTCTGGACATTGCATGTTGAAGAACTCAAGGGCTGTCTCTCCATCAATGTCATCATCGACTGAGTGGAGCAGAACAATGACTTCATAGACCTCTGCTGGTCTAGAAAATTCCTGAATTATTGTTTTTTTTTTTCTTAAATATTTATTTATTTATTTGAAAGGTAGAGTTGAGAGAGAGAGAGAGAGAGAGAGAGAGAGAGAGGGAGAAATAGATAGAGCGAGATCTTCCATCTGTTAGTTCATTCCCCAAATGGCCGTAATAGCCAAGGCTGGACCAGGCTGAAGTCAGGAGCCAGGAGCTTCTTCCAGATCTCTCACATGGATACAGGGACCCAAGTCCTCGGGCCAGCTCCAGCTGCTTTCCCAGGCATATAAACAGGAAGCTGGATGGGAAGTGGAGCAGCTGGGACACAAATCGGCACCCATATGGGATGCCAGCCTTGTAAGCGGTAGGTTGACTTAACCCATTATGCCAAAGTGCCAGCCCCTACTAGATAGTTATGTGAACTTAAACTTTCATTAGGCTTAGCCATTACATGCTTAATTCTATATGTTACTGTAGCTGAGCATATTCAAACTATAACAAAAAGATCTTGGAAGTCCCTTCTAGCTGTAAAATCCTAAAATAAATGTATATTGAAGTCATTCAAGCAAGCCTATCTTATGGAGGAAAGGGAAACTTTTTGGACTGTTGATAGGACTGCAATTGCTATAACCATTATGAAAAACAGTAGGTAGTTTCCTCAAAAAAATTAAACACAGAACTACCATATGATCCAGTAGTAACCCAAAAGAATTGAAATCAGTATCTCAAAGAGATCTCTGTACTGCCTACTGTGGGGAGCAATTCGGACTAGACTAAGTTACTGGAATTAAGACTTATTCTATGCATCTGCTCTCCCACAATATGGCGCTGGGAGAGAAGAAAACAGCTTTTACACAGCTGCCTCCAGTTCAACCAATAAACTGTAGGACTTGCTCCTGATTGGAGAGCAGCGTACTCGGCGTGTGGGCAGCCGAGTTGGGATTGGCAGAGGAGGACTATAAAGGAGGAGAGAGACGGCATGCACCAGAAACATCTAAGGGGAACATCTAAGGGAACACCTGTGCAGCCCCCGAGAGAGCCGGCCGGCGGTGTGCCGCTCCCCTGCGGAAGTGGGGAATGTGGCCAGGGGGAACTGCCCTTCCACGGAGGTGGAAGGGATAGTAGCCAACCCGGGAAGAACCAGCAGCAAACCCGGGGAAGGCCGAGCAGACGAAAGAACAGCGCAGGGTCCTGTGTCGTTCCTCCACGAACAGGGGGAGCGACATAATGGTGCCGTGACTCGGATATGAAGCCTAGGCAGGGTTTAGTGTCGTTCCCCCACGAAGACGGGGAGCGACATAATGGTGCCGTGACTCGGATAGGAAACTTAGGAGGGAAGAAACGGGAAGAAATGGGAAAATATCGGAGAGAGAGACTAGCAAACAGCCTAGGGAAAAGCCGGACGAAAAAGGTGCCGGAAGAAGCTATTGAAAGCCTAGGCATAGACTCAGATACGGACTATGGGGGGAAGCTGGGAGAAATCTCTAAGGTCGAAAACGAAAGTGAAAGCTAGAACAAACAGACTCGGATGCGGACTGTGGGGAGAGGCCAGGAGAAATGAGGGAGGAGTATTGTTGGAGGAAAGCTTGGGGAAACATACCGGGTAGAGAAAAATGTTAGGGAAATTGAAGCCGCGGGGGGCAGGCCGAGGCGGAGACGAAAGCCACTTTGGGATTCTCAAGTTAGCCCGGGAATAGGGGGCGAAAAGTTGAAACCAGAAGCAGAAACGTAAGCCAGATTGGGATCCGTCTGATTAGCCCGGGGAGCAAAGGACGGGAAGCCAAATCGTGGGGTGGAGAAGTGAGCTGGGTTGAAATCGCCAGGTTAGCCCGGGGAACTTAGATTGAATGCTAGTGGCGGAGACGTGAGCTACGCTGTGTGACTCGTGGAGGCTGCCGCGCGCAGAGAGAGCGTGCGGGGCACAAGTAGATAGGGAACGCCGGGCTAAGTGCGAGACCGCGGAGTGTGCGTGCAAAGCCGAGCCGCGCAGATGAGAGAGGCGCGGGCTGAAGCGGCTCAGAGCCGGAAAGCCGCCGAGAGGCAGCCTCGGGGCGGGCGCCGGGAAGCCGCAGGGATAAGAGAAACAGAAGTTTAGAAGTAAAATGAGAGAAATAGGAATGCTGGAAGATAGAAGTAAAATGGGAGAAATAGGAATGCCCGGAGATAGAGAAATAGAGAAATAGAAAGGCCTCCCCACAATACCGCAATTAGAAGGCTTGGATTCGGTCTGCCCGATTAGTGAGGCGATGAGCACCTGCGGGCGGCTAGCAGCTTATGCGCCGCAGGTCACCGAAGATAGGCACGAACCAACACTAATAAGTCTTCCCCACAATATGGCAATGAGAAAGCTTGGATTCGGTCTGCCTGATTAGGGCGGTAAGCACCAGCAGGCGGCTCGACCAGAGTATGAGCCGCAGGTCACTGAAGACAGGCACGCATCAGCGCCTAAAAACCTCCTCACAACATGGCGAAGAGAGGACCCAGATTCGGTTTGCCTGATTGATAGGACTTGTAAGAACCTGTGGCAACTCTAGCAAGTAGAGCAGAGTGTGTGCCGCGGGACACCGAAGACAGGCGCGTATCAACGCCAAAAAAGAAAAAGAAAGGGGGATCTGTGGGGAGCAATTCGGACTAGACTAAGTTACTGGAATTAAGACTTATTCTATGCATCTGCTCTCCCACAATATGGCGCTGGGAGAGAAGAAAACAGCTTTTACACAGCTGCCTCCAGTTCAACCAATAAACTGTAGGACTTGCTCCTGATTGGAGAGCAGCGTACTCGGCGTGTGGGCAGCCGAGTTGGGATTGGCGGAGGAAGACTATAAAGGAGGAGAGAGACGGCATGCACCAGGAACATCTAAGGGGAACATCTAAGGGAACACCTGTGCAGCCCCCGAGAGAGCCGGCCGGCAGTGTGCCGCTCCCCTGCGGAAGTGGGGAATGTGGCCAGGGGGAACTGCCCTTCCACGGAGGTGGAAGGGATAGTAGCCAACCCGGGAAGAACCAGCAGCAAACCCGGGGAAGGCCGAGCAGACGAAAGAACAGCGCAGGGTCCTGTGTCGTTCCTCCACGAAGAGGGGGAGCGACAGCCTACATGTTCACTATAGTACTATTCTCAATATCTAAGACACAGAAACCACCTAAGTGTCTCTGGACAGATGAATAGAGAAAATGTGATCTATCAGGGCCAGTGCTATGGCACAGCAGGTAAAACTGCCACTCGCAGCACCGGCATCCCCTATGAGCGCTGGTTCAAGTCCTGGCTGCTCCTCTTCTGATCCAGCTCTCTGCTATGGCCTAGGAAAGCAGTGGAAGATGGTCCAAGTTCTTGGGCCCCAGCATCTGCATGGGAGACCCAGAAGAAGCTCCTGGCTCCTGGCTTGGGATTGGCCCAGCTCTGGCCATTGAGGCCATTTGGAGAGTGATTCAGTGGATGGAAGACCTTTTTCTTTTTCTCTCTCTGCCTCTTCCTCTCTGTAACTCTGCCTTTCAAACAAATAAATAAAACTTAAAAAAAAAAAAGTAATGATAAGTAATGAGATGCACACACACACAAAAGAAAATGTGGTATAAATATAATGGAATACTATCTGGCCATTAAAAAAAAAAACAAGGAAATCCTACAAATATGAGACAAATATGAGTTCTGTATGGCCTTACTTCCTTGTGGAATTTAAAAAATTCAAATTCATGGAATCAGCAAGCAGTGCTGTGGTTGCATGGGACCAGAGCCTAGGGGAAAGGAGAGATGAGAGATGTTCATCAAAGAGTAACAGCTTTCAGTCACAAGATGAGTAAATCCTGGGACCCAACGTGCAGGATGGTGGCCATAGTTAACTCTGTGATACACACTTGAAATCGCTGTAGCTCTGTCCCGAGAAAGAAGTTTCTGAGGAGAGAGCACGTTTTCAAGCCTTCCCGCTCTCAAGTTTGGTGGCCATAAGCCAAACAAAGATGGCCACATCACACTCAGTCCTACCAGACAGCACTATTGAAGGAGAGGTTTTAAGAACAAGCAAACATAGGCTACTTATAAGAATTTCCTTCCTACTCTTGTATCTAGGCCAATGATCCCCAATTGTGTACATCCAGGACTCCAGTAAATGATGCAAACTCTCTTTACCATGGGCATTTGCAAAGCCTCTCCCGTTGTCAATGAAGACAGTTCACACCATGAAACACATGATTCAGATCAGGGCTAATTAAAAACAACACCACACTGATCAGTAGCAACAATTCAAGTCTGATACTGGTTATTGTTGCTTTTTCCAGTAAATTAAATTGTGGGGGTCAGGGAAGGACGTGTATTTTAGGTTCCAGATTGGAATTTTCTTTTTCAGGTCTAATATCTTCACCATCTGACAGGGAGATGAAAACATCCACTTTCTGAACTAAAAAAATGGGTTGGATTACATGATCTCAAAGGTACCTGCTAACTCAAAGCTTTAACGATTTGAGGGTCTGTGTTTTTGTGTGTTTGTTTCACTTGTGCTTCTAACCTGGCTTTCCAAACTTGCAGTCTGTTTTTCTGTATCTAAGAAAGCAGTGATGGAAGCTTCCACCCAGTGATAAAAGGAAATTTTGAACATGACATCCATTGATTTGTTCTTCTCAGCTTCCTTGTCTAAACAGCATGCATGATGGTCAAGAAAATGGACGTCAGAGACAAGCAGCCCTGGGACTGAATTTGATTTCTACTACGTGTCTACATAGAAACTTGGGCAAGTTATTAAATTTCTTTATGCTTTCTCTTCTCTTCTTTAAAAAAGAGTCAATTATAAATGACAATTTAAGGTAATTCAATGAAATAATGTATATAAAATGTTTTTGCATGGTTCTGGACATATAGCAAGTATCTAATAATTTGTTCCTATTATCAATAGATGCTGGAGAGTGGGCATTTGGCATAGGGGTTAAGATGCCACTTGAGATGTCCAGATCCCTTATCAGAGTCCCTGGCATTGAGTACTGGCCCTGCTCCCTATTCCAGCTTCCTGTTTATGCATACACTGGGAGGCAGCAGGTAATGGTTCCAGTGGTTGGATCCCTAACATCCATGTTGGAGACCCAGATTGAGTTCCTGGCTTAATGGCTTCAAACTGAACTTGAGTCTGACTATTGCAGGCATTTGGAAAATGAACCAACAGGTAGGAGATACCTGACTCTCTCTTTCCCTCTCTCTTTCACTCTCCCTTTCAAAGAAAAACTTTTTAAAATATTTGCTGGGCCAGTGCTGTGGCATAGAGGGCTAAGCTTCTACCTGTGGTGCTGGCATCCTGTGTGGGTGCCAGTTTGGGTCCCAGCTGCTCCACTTCTGATCCAGCTTCCTGCTGGTACACCTGGGAGAGCAGAGGAGGATGTCCCAGGTGGTTGGGCCCCTGTACCCATGTGATAGACCTGAATGAAGCTCCTGGCTCCTGCCTTCTACTTGGCCCAGTCCCAACCATTGTAGCCATTTGGGGGAGTGAACCAGCAGATGGGAGATCTCTGTCTCTCCTTCTCTCTCTGTATCTCTACCTTTGAAATAGCCAAATAAATCTTTAAAAACTAAACATTTTTAAGTGCTAGAATCAATGTGAATAGTTAGCATCCCATAGTGAAATAAATGTAGGTCCTAGAGTAAGGAAAGAACAAGTCAAATCTTGGCATATGACAAGTTATATGATCTCCAGCAAGTAGCAAACTCTGTAAGCCTTCATTTCCTCAGATGTAATATATGTTAACAGCACAGAAAGTGAGACCTGGAGGGTTGAGAGTTGTGGAGCACTTTCTCATGAAAGTGACCTAGGATGAATTCAATATTGGCATTCGTGGAGGTCGTAGTAGAAGTAGCGCAGCCCATGCTGTTGTCAGCTCTGATTCTCCACCATCATCACCAACATCATCATCGTCATCATCATCATCATCATGATGTCAGTGGTCTAGAATGGAACTGGCAGGTAGAGCCAGGCTGTTGGAGAAAGTGACTGGAGGTGAACTGAGAGAGACAGTGCAGTGACATGGCCCTGGTCACAGGTATGACCTGGACCAGTCACTGTCATTCTGGGCAGGTTCTTCAGCTACTCTGCAGAGAAAAGGAGAATTGCAGATCTGTTGTGTGGTTGCCACCGATGATGAAGGAGAAATGGCTGTAAAAATCATGAACGTCTCTTACAGTCTCTGAATTCTCCAACTGGACATCAGATGAAATGATTTAGGACACCCTGGTTCCAAGCCATGTAATGGCGAAAACCCCGCAACTGATGAAAATGGGAATGGGGAATGTCAAGGGGGTCTCCATGCCCCCAGGTACAGAGGGAAGTGGCGCTTGCCAGACTGGAAAGGTATATTCAGGAGGGGGCCTTTAGCTTGATCACAAGGACAGAGCCCAGATCCCTTCAAGTTTCTCCATGCTGTCCACCAGCCCGTCTCAGGGGATCAGCCAGACAGGAGCTTCTGGTTTTATGATTCCACTTGAGATTCTCCCTTCCTTCCCGGTCCATGTCATCATCATCCATTGCCTTCAGGTGGACCCATTTGCTGGGAGTTCGTCTGCACATGACAGGGGACAGGTGCCACTCCTGCTCCGATGTGATAGGAAACTGCTCCCCCTGAATCCCAGTCCCTGTGTCTTCACTGCTGGTCTGGCCTAGTTCCTGACTCCTCACACACACCCAGCACTGTCACTCACAGCTCCTATTTCCACCTGGCTAATACATGAAGAGTTTAACTGGGGCTTAGTCCATATTTTTTGGAGTTGGGAGCTTCCGAAGCAGGTACCTGCAGTACGTTTATGCCTGTTAGGTGGGTTGTAAGGAGAAAGGATGGGACAAAGGTCTGGCACAGGGAGCATGCCTCGAAGCCACCATGATAAGTGTCTTCAGTGTCACACCACCTTCTCCCAGATCTAGACAGCTTTGACCTTTAAGACAGGTGCTACAGGCTCCACTCATCCTCCCCCAAACTGAAAAAAAAAAAAAAATAGAAAAAATATTGAGAATAAAATCAATTGGAGTGATAGCATTTGGTGAGGCAGAATGTGCCATGCCAGACAAGAGAATGCATGCTCCTGTTAGCCAAACCTAAACAGCTCTCAGGGCTGTGTGGAACTGAGACTTGGGTGTGGCTGTGGAAGGGACAGTTCTCAAGCTCTGAGCTCAGCTTTAATCCAAACTTCCAGTGTGCTTGGGGCCAACATGGTCCCTCTATTGCTTGACTTCACACTCCCAACACAGCCCGTGCTTTCAGGACTAAAAGGCAGGGAAGAGAGGAGGAGAAAGCTTTGTTTGGCTGCTCTTTGAGTGCCAGCAATCTCGCTGTGGATTTCCTGGGTCGCAATGCTGTAGTTTCTAATGTGCTCTCAGATCAGACTTCTCTCATCACCTTCATCCAGGTGGGTGGCGCTACCAGCTTAATCCCGATTTCTCAATGGTACATGTCCTGTTCTTGCCCTCGTGTGAAACAACAATTCTCTTCTTGGCTTGGTTTCCAAGGAGCCAGAAATGCTGCTGTCTGACTTCCTGAACTAATGAGTTACTACTGGGACAGCACAAATAATTCCTGGGACATCTTGGCTCACTTTTGGAGGGTGTTGTTTATGAGAGCGCCTTAAACAGGGATCAGAGGGAGACAGTAGAGAGCTATAAAAAGAACTCTGTGTAGTCATTTGGGGTGGAGAGATGGGAAAAGCTTCAGTGTTCTTCCTGAAGAGTCCCTAAACAACAGAACTAAGCTTCAAACACGCAAAGGTCCTAAAATACGTTGATGTTTTAAAGTCAAAGGGAAACCAAACACCAACTGATATGGGGAAGTATTTGAATGAGGAGGTGTGGTATCTGACTCAGAGAGATGACTTTCAAGGTCCCAAGACCGGGACAGTGGGGATTGCTCCTTTTAAGGTTTTATAAATTTTCATCTTGCTGTTGTTCTTGTAAAGGGAAAGCAAGTCTGTCCTTGAGAGAACTTGTAAGACAGCCTTCTCTTTAAAAAAAGCTGCACCGAAAACAGTGAAGTGTCACAAAACTTTCAAAGAACCAAGATCAACTTGGTGTTTGACAAAGCTAATATAAGAATGGTAATCAATCCCTTGGCAATGGAAATTTTAAATTTAAAATAAGCTTCAACAAAGCCTTTGAACCTTCAAACACTTTATGCTTAAGAAATTAATGGGTCCCCAAAGAAGTCACATTTCCTTTTCTGTTTCTGTAATATATTCTTCAATTACACTAATCAACAATGCCGCAAAATCACTGACACCAGCCAGCTTCCAAGTCGCGTTTCCAAATGCTCGTTTGCTTCCGCAGACTCGGCGTTGTAAGATAGCTAATTGAGGTTTATATAAGCATGGATAAATATTTGGTGGAGATGGATTTTCTCATCCTGCTGCCACCTTTTGCTTACCCCCGAATGGTTTCCTATCCGCTTTCCCTTCTCCTGTCATTTCTGTTGAGTGTGATAAACTATCTTGCTGACAGAGATATTAAGTTAAAACCTTCCTTCTGCAGTATCTATAAAGAAGTTGAAACACCCGTCAGATGAGTGTTCTTTTAAAGCAAATTGGAATTTTGTGAGATTTTTATTTTCTTCTTGGAAAAATCAGCCAATGGGTTACCAGTTGCCCATACTTTTCTCCACTCTGGACATCAAAAGACCAAGTGTCATGACATCTATCCTGTTAGATATGATCCTCCTTGTAAATCGTCTGTATTTTTTTTAATTTAAAAAGAGATTGTTTTATTTACTTGAAGAGCGTCAGAGAGAGAGAGAGAGAGAGAGAGAAGGAGGAGGGGGAGGCAGGGAGGAGAGAGAGAGAGATCTTCCATCTGCTGGTTCACTCTCCAAATGGCCCCAACAGCCAGAACAGGGCCAGACTAAAATCAGGAACTCCATCCAGGACTCCCACATGGGTGGCAGGAACCCGAGCACTTTGCAGTCTTCCGTACCCTTCCCAGGTACATTGGTAGGAATGCTGGATTTAAAGCAGAGTAACTGAGATTTGACCTTGCACTCCAATATGGGATGTTGGTGTCATAAGCTACTGCTTACTTCTTAATTGGCTGCATCACAATGCTGGCCCTGGTGTTGCTTTCATGGTATCTACTTTGGACTCCGTCTCTAAGTCTCACTTACTCTTCTCAGAAAAAGCATCTCCAAAGACCCTGTTGACATAATTTTTCCATTTTGGTTCTCTCAGAAATGGAAATCTTACAAATAAAAGGCTCCAATTTTTATTTTACAAGCCTACTATTACACAAAACAGACAGACAAAAAGAAAATGCTTCAGTTTTTCATTTGGGTACTCGCCCCTCTCCTTAGGAGTGGTCAGTGTCTACCAGATAGGACTGGTCATTTCTCATTGTTGCTGATGATCTAGAGAACTGTTTCTGATTCTTTGTGTCCTGCAGAGAGCAACTTGCTCTGAGCTCCCTCAGCTCCCCTTGGACATTTCCACTTTGACCATCTCCTTTCTGCAAGACATACACACTGTGTCCATTTCACTAACACCATTGTATCAGCTTAGAAAACCACTTGACCACGGTACCTCCCCTGTGGTGAATGCCTCTCCTGGGGCTTTAGAACTCAATGGGGAACCTCCCAAGAAAACATTGCATTTCTAATGGTGGAACTACCTGTACCGGTCTATGTAAGATTTCTGAATAGATCATAGAATAAGGTAGACTTCTGAGTCATATTATCCCAGAAGGTTAAACCCATACAGGCACAAGTCTTATCCTTTGTCAAACTAATTATGGATTGTCAACTATTTCAGATGTTCTATCATGTATGGTTTAGTTCTGTTACAGGAGAATTCTGTGTGATGAGAAATGGGCGGGGGGGGGAGGAGGGCTGGTTCATATTCCAATGGTAACTCAGCTCATTTTCAAGTAGAGCCACCACTGTGAGGAAAACCAGGACATCTGGCATGACACAAGTTATTGTACACTTGGTTAGAATTTTTCTTTCAATGTGGTCATTTTAGTCGAACAACTAAAGACTTGGCATTCACAATACAGTTGTCAAGGCTGACAAAGATCTCTACAGCCTTACCTTGTTACTCTTGGTTTTGCTAGAATCAGGAGACTTCAATTTCTTCCCTTTAGCTCCCAGGAGTGAGAAGGGCCTTTCATATGCTCTTTGCTTCTCTGCCTTGAATATAACTTTCGTTGTTGCATACATATGTTCTCATTACTTTTGTCTATTTAATAAGATTGGTGATATGTATTAACAGGCAGCGTTGGATGAGTGTACTTTTCCCACACAAGTACAGACAAATAGAAACTGTTTGGGTCTGGCTCTTTACTGGAATTGGAAACTGGAAATTGATGAAGGGCCCCTGTGTCCAGAGGTAGAGTCAGACCATTCTAGCAGGTGCTCATCAAGGAAGGCAGCGATAGGCATTCAGCTACCCAACATGGCCACAAGCAAAGCTCAAACCTTCCACAGTCCTGGGAAAATGAGATGTTACACGTTCATAGCAGGAGCTGACAATTAAGCTGAGTGAACAATTGTGCGAGGCAGGGGAGTGGGGGTTCATGCTGCTTAGCCACATGCCTCAGGTGCTGGGTTGAGTGTGAGGCCGAGGGCCAAACGCTTTCAACCACCCAAGAAGCCGGGGATCCTAAAACCTAGCAGCCTGTGGCACGTTGCTGTTTGTTATCATGGAGGCTCCTGTTCCTTCCAACGATTTCCTCTGGCATGATAAGGATTTTGTGAGGTGCCAGGGGAGATATAATTCATTAGAATCAAGTAATGATTTGTAATATTTAAACGATTCCATTAAACCAGGAAGCAGGTCAGAAACTAACCTTTAAATACAGCCAAGGGAGAAAGTCAGCCCAGCAGCTTAAAATATATATCTTTTGCAGGAAGCATGGAGCGTATAATTAGCTATAATTTCTGCAACTGCAGTCAGGAAGCTTTATTTTTTTGGCTGATAGGCAGTGTTATCTCCTGATGGCCTGGGAAACCAAATCCTGGGTTGCATTCCTGGCTCCCACATGCACCCATGTGGGTGGCTTTGGGGAAAACTGGGCAAAGAAGCAAAGGCAAGGAGGGGGCAGGGCGGGGCCAGGAGCTGGAGAAGTTCCTCGGGAGGATTTGGGGGGGGTAGTATTCTTTTGTGAGGAGACACTGAATTTTGAGCATTTTACTTCAACATATACTGCCTGCCAGGGTAATAATTTTCCCCAAGACATTTTTAATACTCAATTCACTGGGCAAATACTATACTTCTTGCCTCTTGCTGGTGGTTGTGGAGGAAGTTCTATGAGCTACTGTTAAAGGATCACTTTTATTTTTGGCTATTTCAAACAGTGTAGTTGTTCTTTTTTTTTTCCAATGGGTAAGTCTCAGTCTGGCAGAGACATTAAAAATGAGTGAAGGTGGAAATGCTTAGAAATATTTGATCTCTTTTCAGGGAAGCTGAGCAGAGCAGAGGGGAGTCTCTGCAGAAGCCTTGCTGGGTGGAAGCACACAGCAACAATGGAATGCACACAGCAACAATGAAATATGCACATACACAACAGAGTGCATATACCCACAGTGACGTGCACACACTAACAACGAAGTCTGTTCACAGTGAAGTGCACACAGCAATAATAAACCGTGCACACATGCAATCATTTGCATACACCAACAATGAAGTATGTACACACACAATGGGGTGCCCACACAATGGAGTGCACACACTAACAATGAAATACACACCAGCAGTGAGGAATGTACACAAATGATGGAGTACACACACAACGGAGTGTGCACATACCAATGAAACACACAGTGTAGGGCACACACCCACAATAGAGTGCACACAGCGAAGCACACACCAACAGTGAGGTCTGTACACCAGCAATGAGATTTTTCTTCAGTGCCTCTTGTGGCCTTGGATTCTCCCCTCTAGTCAGGCCCCAAAGGGGAAAAAACCCAGTTCTCTGACATTTGATCTAAATCTCCTAAAGCCACTGGGGAGGCTATGAAAGCTCAGGTAGGGGCAACAGAGCAAAACCAGTAACATGGCAGTAAATAAATCTGATTTTCGTCCATTCCAGCCAAGGCTGGTTTGGTTTGCTGGGAAGTGATTTTTCTTGCTCTTTTTTTTTTTTTTTTTTGAGGTTGTCAAATCTTGACTCATCTTTGCCCTCTGAGCCACATCAACCAACTAATCATCCCAGCAATGATGAACTAACAGCCATCCATTCTGTCCTTAACAAGAGTGACGGTAATTGGCATTTTTTAAGAAAAACATTATCTCTCCCAGTTATTTATCAGGATTCTGCAGTGTACTAAATTTCTTTTTCTAGCTATTTATAAAAATTCTGCAGTCCATTTGGGAAAGAAGATATATGATTTTAAAGGATTTAATCTTAAAAAATAGTGTTCGCTTAGCCTAGCACCAGAAAAGCCCAAATACTATTTCTCTCTTCTGCTTCCCGGGATGATCTCCTTTGATGGGGATCACGTACAGATGTGTATTATACTGATATTCCCCAGATAACACGTCTTGAATTACAAACCCAGGCATCTTCCTGATACTGAGGAGGAGAGGATAAACCAAGGAGGTGAACAACACTCATTAGATGAGAAATGGGAATGCAAGGGGCATCTTTCCTGGGACCTGCATTGCCAACATTTATCTCGCAACGTCCACAGTATACAAATAATTGCCTCTGAGCTCCGACTTGGTCAGAAACCCCGGCTCACTGCCTCCCAGAAACAGCCGGAGACCAGTCCTCGGGAGGGTGGCGTCTCCTCCCCAGCAGCTGCTCATCTCTAATGTCACAGTTCTGTGCTGTCCTCCAGAGCACAGCTGCATTGTGCCAGCCATGAATAAATCATTGACCCTATTTTATTAATAAGCCTAAGCTAACAATACTCCCAACCTGGCCCTGTTCTTCCTTTCCCGCGGCGCCTCCGAAACATGTGCTGCACGGCTCTTCCTGTGCGGAGACAGGCGGTGAGCCTCAAGGTCGCGCCTTGTGGGATCCGGAGTCTGAAGCGCCAGCCAGCTGTCACCAGGTGATACCTAACTGCAGCCTGGGCATTGGCAGATGATGAGAGAGTCCGCTTCCAAGAGAATCAGGTTCCCTGGGCCACGCACTGCTTCCAGGGCGCCCCATGGGGGCAGGCAGCCCTAAGTATCCCAGGGAGAGAGCTCAGGCAAGCAGCAGAGCAGAGGAACAAACTCACCTTGCTCTCATTGTTTATAAATACGGTTTTTTAAAACCCACCACTTTTTTTTTTTAATCTTTGCTTAAGAAACAATATTTTAATGTTGTATTCCTCCCTTATGGTGACCTCGAATCCAATCCACCTCCAGCCTTGTGAAACACATAGAAATAGATTATAAACTCTGTTTTCAAGAACTTTGTCAACATGCAAAGTGCCTTGCTGTGTCATCAGTTCTGTTCTTACTGTGTTTAGGCCTCTTTTGGAAGCAGAGGACAGAAAACCAACTTCCAATAATTTAAGCATTAAAAAAGGGAGAAACTGTTGACTTAATAGAAACTTAAAGAAGTCGTTTAGACTTGGACTGAATCTAAGCATTCCAAGAATGTCATCAGTTGCTCCCTATCTCTCTAGAGATGCCATTTTCAGACAGAGAGTGTTGCCTGTTACGCATGAGATTAAGATGTGAGCAGAGTTGACTTCATGACTGTGTAACTTATGCAGAGCCAAGGCCCTCTCTTGGAAGGACCCACAGTTGATTTGATGCTCTATTGTTGCCATCTAGAAATTCTTTTTTTTTTTTTTAATTTATTTATTTGAAAGGAAGAATTACAGAGAGGCAGAGGAAGAGAGAGAAAGGTCTTCCATCTGCTAGTTCACTCCCCAAATGGCAGAAACAGCCGGAGTTGGGCCAATCCGAAGGCAGGAGCCAGGAGCTTCTTCCGGGTCTCCCACATGAGGGGCCCCAGGGCTTGGGCCATCTTCCACTGCTTTCTCAGGGCCTTACAGAGAGCTGGATCAAAAGTGGAGCAGCCAGGACTCGAACCAGTGCCCATAAGGGATGGAGGCACTGCAGTCAGCAGCTTTACCCGCTAAGCTACAGTGCCGGCCTCTAGAAATTCTTAACATCTGAACAAGAGTCCCCCACATTTTAATTTTCATTGGGTTCCCCAAATCATGTAATCCTACATAAGACACTGCCATACACTAACAATGATTTTGTGAATGTATGGGGAAAAAACTGGACTCTGTCTCAGAATAACTGAGATGTGGGATTATGATAATTGTAAGTTTTCTTCTTTCTTTTCTAAAATGACCATGCATTACTTATGTAAGGAAAATATTTTTTTAAAAAACTTGATAAATTAGGGGTAGGCATTGTAGTACAATGGTTAAACTTTGGGTGCCCACATCCCGTATCAGAGTACCTGGGTTTGAGTCCAGTCTCTACTTCTGATCCAGCTTCCTGCTAATTAACACTCTGAGAGGCAGCCAATGATGGTTGAGGGACACCATCCATATGGGAGACACCGATGGAGTTCTGGGCTCCTCGCTTGGGCTTGGCCCCACCCTTGGCTATTGTGGGCATTTGGGGAATGAACCACGGAAGGAAGATATCTCTCTCTGTCTCCCTCTGCTGCTTTGCACTTCAAATAAATAAATAAACTCTAAGAAAAATGTATAAACTATTGATATGGAAATGTCACCGAAATAAATTTCTTGTAAAATATCCTTTCCATCTCAAGGTCAACAAGAATGAACGCTGGAAGGCTTGTGTTGTAGGTGGAGTCTAGCAGGAGGAAGTCACCGCCAGAGAGGGAGCCGAATGCCCTGACCGGCGGCAGCTGATGGTTGGGGATCCTGAATGGTGATGCTTCCAAGGTGCCCAAACTGTTTTCACGTCGTCTTCCCAGAGACAGGAGTGATGAACTCACAGTCCATTCCTTTGTAACTACCGACTTCTGTATCTGTGCCAGGTTGCCAGTGTGCCTTAGAAGAGCACCTTATGGCTCTGCTAATGGGGCACATGACAGACTTAGGAGCTCACCACAGCCTGAGCTTGGTGCCTTTCCACACTCTGTGGCTCTTTATTTGGAACTTCTCCCATTTTCCACCGTGCATGCAAAACCTAACTCTGCCTTATCAACTCTGAGCGGTCATTCTCCTTCCACCTGTCCAAGAAAAAAAGGTCCTATGGCAAGAATTTCCTTAGCCTCCCCCTCTTCAAGATTTTCTTTACTTTAAAATCTCTCTTCACTGGCACCCGTGTCTTATCTTTCAAATGAGTAAGGCCATGTTTCTTTTTTCATGTAGTAATGTAATGCCATCCTCAACTGGAGTACATTTTCAAGACAAGACGCCAAAATTCACCTTCATCCAATTCTTTGTTATGCAATATGTCTTTCAGGACTTGAAAAAATCTATGTGTGCTTGAGTAAAACTTTCTGTACTTTGCTTATATTCTGGTTAGCATAATTTAATCTATGTGCACATTAGCTCTTCTCATCTGCCTAAGATCAGAGTGCTCTCTTCCTGTCTTTCTGGCATCACCTTGGCTGTCTCTAACAGCCAGTCTCCAAAGATGATCCTCAGGGCCGGCGCCATGGCTCACTTGGTTAATCCTCCGCCTGCGGTGCCGGCATCCCATATGGGTGCCCGGTTCTATTCTGGTTGCTCCTCTTCCAGGCCAGCTCTCTGCTGTGGCCCGGGAGTGCAGCGGAGGATGGCCCAAGTGCTTGGGTCCCTGCACCCGCATGGGAGACCAGGAGAAGCACCTGGCTCCTGGCTTCGGATCAGCACAGCGCTGGCCATAACAGCCATTGAGGGGGGTGAACCAATGGAAGGAAGACCTTTCTGTCTCTCTCCCTCTCCCTCTCTCTCACTGTCTATAACCCTACCTGTCAAATAAAAAAAAAATAGGGTTGGTATAAAATAAGGTTAAAAAAAAAAAAAAACAAAGATGATCCTCAAAGGACCATACATCCCAGTATTTGTATTTGTGGCTTTGTGTAGCCCATATTTTGAATTTGGATTGGCCTTGTGACTGTCTAACCAACAGAATGGAGTGTTAGTGGCACTGTATCATTTCTGGGTCCATGTGGCCAGAAGACCTGGCACCTCTGCCTTTGCACTCCTGAGATTCAGATTTAAGAAGTCCACTTAAAGAAACCCAAGCCAACCGCATGGTGAGATCCTGTGGGAATAGAATGAGAGACGTCTCAGCCTCTCAGCCAATCTTCCAGCTGCTAGAGGCAAGTGGTGATGCTGTGCACGATCCAGCTCAAGCCACCATCGTCCTTGCGTGTGATTTATGTTGGAGCATCAGAAGACCCATCCAACTGAGCCCAGCCAGCCCACAGATTTGTAAGAGATTATCAAATGTATTTTTTTTGAATTCACAGGCTTTTATTTGGGTTCTGCTCCCGGGCGAGGTTCCACGGCCCCAACAGAGCGGGGGCCGGGGAAATCACGCATCAGAGATTGGGAGAGCTCCTTTTATAGATTCAGGGCATGAGAGTTAAAGGTTGAGGCGGGTCTGATCCTCATTGGTTGACCTTTAGGCACCCGCAGGGACCTTAACAAGGACTTTCTTCCCCGGAAGTAGGCCTCTCCATTCCCGGAAGTGTAGGCCTTCCCTCCTTGCGGATCCCAAAGCTACCATCCCCACCTTTTGATGATAGGAAAGGGGGCGACGATGAGTCTCTCTGGCTACTTCCTGCTGACTGGGGATGTCGTCTACAGGGGCCTGCTGGGGGTATCTTGGTGCTCCGCAGGGACAGGCATGTATAGATGGAGAAGCATCTGGTTGACTGCCTGGTTGCTGAAGGCCGTGGTTCATTCCATTATCACCTGCTGTAAACATGTAAACAGACACTGTAGTATGCAAGTCAGGGTGAGAATAGCAACCAATGAACCTAAGAGTGGCATTAACCAGGTAATGAGAGGATTTCATAGAGGAGAGGAAATGAGGGTGGTCTCTGGACCCTTGTGAGGATGGTTTGATGGATGTGGTTTAAATCTGATCCCATCCAAGACCGGGAGAAAGGCCACTCAACTTTTGCAGGTAGTGGGGTTTGTCTGTAGAGAAATTCTGAATAATCATACAACATTAAGTGGCAGAAAGGACCATCAGTACACAAAGGTTGAAAGTAGAGTCAACTAAGTTTTCTGATTGAGAGGCAAAAAGAACCTGACAGAAGGGACTTGATAATAATCTGGTGGGCTTTAGGTCTTGTAAGTTAAGAGGCCCAGACCTGTCTGTCTCTTCACATAGGGTACATCCTAAGGGAGGTGTGAACTTCCTTGGGGAAGGCACCCTGCTGACTTCCATTACCTAGCTGGCCTGGGAGGAGAGCTGGCCAGGTGAAGGCAGGTGGCATCTCTAACAGGAAATTTACAGTTCTGCCTGCAGTGTTGCTGACCCTACTTGGCCGTCTCCTCTCAGCAGCAGTGGTCACCTTGGAAGCTGGGCTGAGTGAAGGGCTTTTCAGCTTAGAGCCAATAAGGTCTGGGGCTCTGACCTGAAGTCCTTCGACTCCAGGGCAGGTCCATTTCCAGTGATCCAACTCTTGGCTAGCAGAGCTGCCAGGGCTCTTCACAAGCTGATTTCTGCTGAAATCCAGGCTTACCACACTGAAAGCCACTGTAGTGGACTGGCCTGTTGGGACTCCTTGAGGGCAGATCACTGTACAGAACAGCCATTAATAGGCTGCCACCTATCTTTCCATTTCTGGTGCCCAGCTTTCTTTTCCTCCTGGGTTTTTGTTAAAGCAGACCAGAGGATGCAAGTCAAGGGGGTGCTCAAGTCCCAGATCACTTACTGACAATAGTAATATCAAATGAAAATTTAGAAAGCAGTTTCAATCATTAGATAACAAATACAGCAGTTTCAATACTAGCATTTTAAACTCTTTAACTGCTTTTTAATTTCCCAATTGATTCGAATTACTTTCTGCTCTTAGTAACCTCAGCTAACCATGCTTTCTCTCAGTTGATACCTGTAATACATTATTGGCTTCATCTGTTTGCAGTGCCATCCCAAAGTACTGAATACAATAGAAGTGGCTGGAAAAAGTCCATCAGAACCTATAGGAGGACAGCTAAACACAGAACCAACAACACTTTAGTTTTATGAGCAGCAAATCTGATATATAAAACTGTGGATGACAAAAGACTTTAAGTTGCCACATTTAAAATTATAAACTTATTATAAACTTAACAAGAGGCACTTGCTTACTTCACATAGCATTTTTGAAAACACCTGTAGGATTTTACAGAACACTTAACTCTTTAGGCCTCTGTGGCTTTCTCATTAAGATCCAAGATTTCTTTCATAACCTTCTGTGACTTCCACACACCCTCTTCAACTTACTTGAAACATTCCATCATTTCCATTCCAGTCTAGAGTAAACTAGCCATCAGGATGAAGTCAATCTTACAAACTTTGTCCTTTCTTTATTCAAAATAACTCTTTCCTTTTAACCTTCATTACTAAATGCACATTTCTATAACATTTTTAACACAAATTTAACATGCTGAGTATACAAGAATTTACAATAAATTAGCAGTTACATCTGAATGACTTGAGATGCTGATATGATATATCTCTACTTGAATTCAATTAAAATTAAAATTAAAATTGCATTCATCTAAAACAAGTACTAATTACCCATTGCTGTTTCATTGAGTACTGATTACCCGGAAATATGGTCCGTAGTCAGCCTGGGGCACCAGACAGGTTCAAGGAGCGAGGGGGCCTCAAACTCAGAAAGGGGAGGCTCGCAACCTCAGCTCCCCGGTTTCAGCACCATCTGTAAGGTGTCCCGCACGTAACAGATCTTCCCAGGCAGACGAATCGATTAATTCACAGGCTTTTATTGGGGTTCTGCTACCAGGTGAGGTTCCACGGTCCCAACAGAGCAACAGAGTGGGGGCTGGGGAAGTCACCCCTCAAATGTATTTTTATTTCATTTTTCCATGAACTTAAATGTTTTAAAATCTGAAAGGGAGAGAGAGAGAGAGGGACCACAGAGAGAGTTTCTCAACCTCTGATTTACTTCCCAAATGCTCACAACATCCAGGGCTGTGCCTGGGGCCAAAGTTGGGAACCATGAACCCAGTCTAAATTTCCCAAATGGTTTGCAAGGACCCGAACACTTGAACCACCACAGCTGCCTCCCAGGGTCTGCATTAACAGGAAACTGGAAGCAGGAGCCAGAGCCAAGACTCAAACCCAGACACTCCGACATGGGACACTGGCTTCTTAATCAGTAGGCCAAATGCCCACCCAAAAATGATATTTTAAACTCAGAAGTTTGGTGTGGCTTGTTGAGCAGTAACATAACTGAGGCCAACTCCCTGCACTAACCTCCTGATTTCTCCAGAGCCCTGCCATCACATCTGTTACCACTGTGCTGCCACGGGCACCCATTGTTCATTGAACAAAGGAACAAATGAACTTCAAGTTGCTAGAATTCCAAAATGTATTTTTGCTGGCACAGTTTGAATTTCTTTGGGGAAAGGTTTTTGCCAACATTGAGTTCCAGCTCTGGGCTGCCACTCAAACATTTCCAGTGATGTTGTAATTTTGGCAAAGGTACTTTGCCTGACATTTCTGTAGACCTCATTAATATTTAAACTACTTTTATATAGATTAGTAGTTCATCAGAAACACAGGGTGTCATTTACAATTAATGGGTTTTGATGATTGTGAACGCCTCGTGTGATACGGAAGGAATTCATGAGTGAGGGTGCGACCATTCTCCCAGTTTCAGGCTGCTCTGTAAGTACATAATTTCTAGCAACGTGTTGCAGGCTTTTGAAAGAAACTGTGCATGGTCTATGCCAGGGGAAGCACCAATTTGAAGGACTGAAGGAGACGCATAACAAAGTGCTGTATTTGTTAGCATTTTTGAGGGACCAGAATCTTTGTGAAATTTCAGACGCCATCCATTCCTTCGGGCCAGTGCATACCAATGTGGTCACACCACAGATCAGAATCCATAGGCTCTTGCCTGCAGAAACACTTCTAGGGAATTTCTAGTGAGTCCCCAGAAGGGTCTCCTGTCTGCTGTAGCTGGGAGGCCCCCCCTTCGCTGCCCTTTCCCCCTGGGCATCTGATGGCATGGCCGTGACCTCCCAGAGCACTTGTTTTCCCCTAAGTCCAGGCACCAGAACCTTCGTGGGTCAACCTATCTGCTGTTGCTTTGTTTCACACTGGGTTAGGTGGACACCATAGTAGCGTTTCTTGGGCACAAAGTTTTACCAAGTTTTCCTGAAACAAATCTTTCAGAGAGGCTCAGAGAAGATACATTCATAGACACTTGGTGGCAGGCACCATCCCATATCCAGAACTACTCCTGGCCACCACAACCTTGAACTTGCCTTGCCAGGTCACATGGTGTGGGGAGCAACTGGGACTAGACTGTTACTCGAATTAAGACTTATTTTATGCATCTGCTCTCCCACAATATGGCACTGGGAGAGGAGGAAACAGCTTCTACACAGCTGCCTCCAGTTCAACCAATAAACAGCAGGACCTGCTCCTGATTGGAGGAGAGCAGCGTACTCGGCGTGTGGGTAGCAGAGTTGGGATTGGTGGAAGAGGACTATAAAGGAGAGAGACAACATGCACCAGGAACATCTAAGAGGAACATCTATCTGAAGGAACACCTGAGCAGCCCCCAAGAGAGCCAGCCGGCAGTGTGCCACTCCCCCGTGGAAGTGGGGAAAGTGGCTAGGGGGAACCGCCCTTCCACGGAGGTGGAAGGGATGGTAGCCAACCCGGGAAGAACCAGCAGCAAACCCGGGGAGGGCCGAGCAGACAAAAGAACAGTGCAGGGTTCTGTGTCGTTCCTCCACGAAGACGGGGAGCGACATAATGGTGCCGTGACTCGGATAGGAAACCTAGGAGGGAAGAAACGGGAAGAAGCGGGAAAATACTGGAGAGAGACTAGCAAAGAGCCTAGGGAAAAGCCGGATGGAAAAGGTGCCGGAAGAAGCTATTGAAAGCCTAGGCATAGACTCGGATATGGACTGTGAGAAAGAAGTTAGGAGAAATCTCTAAGGTCGAAAGCGAAAGTGAAACCTAGAAGAAACTTAGACTCGGATACGGACTGTGGGGAGAAGCCAGGAGAAATGAGGGAGGAATATTGTTGGAAGAAAAGTTAGGAAACATACCAGGTAGAGAAAAATATGTTAGGGAGGATGAAGCCGCGGGGGCAGGCCGAGGCGGAAATGTAAGCTATGTTGGAATTCTTCAAGTCAGCCCGGGGAGCAAAAGGCGAAAAGTTAAAACTAGAGGCGGACGCATAAGCCAGGTTGGAATCCGTCAGATTAGCCCGGGGAGCAAAAGACAGGAAGCCAAACCGAAAGGCGGAGACGTGAGCCAGGTTGAATTCGCCAGGTTAGCCTGGAGAACTTGGACTGAATGCCGGTGGCGGAAACGTGAGCTGGGCTGTGTGATTCGTGGAAGCCGCCGCGTGCAGAGAGAGCACGGGGCGTGAATAGATAGGGAACGCGGGGCTGGCGCAAAGGCTGTGGTGCGGGCGCGAAGGGCGTGGAGACAGCTGAGCACGCGAAGCCGAGCCACGCAGAGCCGGGAAGCCGCCGCGGGGGAGGTGCCGAGAAGCAGCCTCGGGGCGGGCGCCGGGAAGCCGCGGGGATAAGAGAAACAGAAGTTTAGAAGTAAAATGAGAGAAATAGGAATGCTGGCAGATAGAAGTAAAATAGGAGAAATAGGAATGCCTGGAGATAGAGAAATAGAAAAAAAAAAAAATAAGGCCTCCCCACAACACAGCAATGAGAGCTTGGATTCGGTCTGCCTGATTAGTAAGACGATAAGCACCTGTGGGCGGCTAGCAGCTTATGCGCCACAGGTCACCGAAGACAGGCACGAATTAACATCAATAAGTCTCCCCACAATATGGCAATGAGAAGGCTTGGATTCGGTTTGCCTGATTGGTAGGGCTTGTAAGCACCTGCAGGCAGTTCTAGCAGAGCAGAGCATGCGCTGCAGGGCACCGAACACAGGCACGCATCAGCGCCTAAAAACCTCCTCACAACATGGTGAAGAGAGGACCTGGATTTGGTTTGCCTGATTGGTAGGGCTTGTAAGCACCTGTGGGCAACTCTAGCAAGCAGAGCAGAGTGTGTGCCGCGGGGCACCGAAGACAGGCGCGTATCAACGCCAAAAATAAAAAGAAAGGGGGATCTGTGGGGAGCAACTGGGACTAGACTATTACTCGAATTAAGACTTATTTTATGCATCTGCTCTCATACAATATGGCGCTGGGAGAGGAGGAAACAGCTTCTACACAGCTGCCTCCAGTTCAACCAATAAACAGCAGGACCTGCTCCTGATTGGAGGAGAGCAGCATACTCGGCGTGTGGGTAGCAGAGTTGGGATTGGTGGAAGAGGACTATAAAGGAGGAGAGAGACAACATGCACCAGGAACATCTGAGGGAACACCTGAGCAGCCCCTGAGAGAGCCGGCCGGTGGTGTGCCACTCCCCCGCGGAAGTGGGGAAAGTGGCTAGGGGGAACAGCCCTTCCACGGAGGTGGAATGGACGGTAGCCAACCCGGGAAGAACCAGCAGCAAACCCGGGGAGGGCCGAGCAGACAAAAGAACAGTGCAGGGTCCTGTGTCGTTCCTCCACGAAGACGGGGAGCGACAGCATGGACCAAACTTCTTCTCTTCAGGAGAATTTTCTTTTCTTTTTAAAGATTTATTTATTTATTTGAAAGGCAGAGTTACAGAGAGGCAAAGGCAGAGAAAGAGAAAGGTCTTCCATCTGCTGGTTTACTTCCCAGATGGCTGCAATGACTGGAGCAGGGCGGTTCTGAAGCCAAGAGCCAGGAGCTTCCTCCAGGTCTCCCACATGGGTGCAGGGACCCAAGCACTTGGGCCATCTTGCACTGCTTTCCCAGGCCATAGCAGAGAGCTGGATCAGAAGTGCAGCAGCCGGGACTCGAACCAGTGCCCATATGGGATGATGGCACTGCAGGCGGCGGCTTTACCCACTAGGCCACAGCGCCGGCCCCTTCAGGAGAATTTTCTAACAGGCCTTCTCAAATGCTCAGTGCTCTACATCATGATGGTGCACCCAGTTCAAAGTGAGACTCCGACACTGACACAGTGATACTTATATGAGATTATGAAGACCTGAGATGCAGTTGTAACTGGCCCACTGCCATTTCTCTAGTGGGGAGTGCAAAGAACTGGGAAGTGGGAGACTGGAGGCTCTCTAAATTCCCAAAGCTCACTCACTCTCTTGTCGAATAATTCAAGCAAGTTAGCATCACTCCCCCCATCTCATTCCACGTGATGTGGTGATGCAGGGGCAACAACTGGACAGCCTTAGCCTTTGGAGGTAAGCATGGAAACAGCAAGTCCACAGATGCAAGGACAGGACCGGGGACAGTGTCTTCTATTGTAAAAGATAAGTGCAGAAAATGCACCAAAGAGGCAGTCCACTGAAACACAGCTAAGAAAACTTCCCCAATTCCTAGTTAGGAATGTCCTACATAGGGAGGTCTCTTTAGGATGAAGATGGAGAAAAACTATCCCCTCAAGGGGCATGAATTGAAGATGCCCTTGCAAGGTTTTATCTATGTGGGGAGCAACTCGGACTAGACTAAGTTACTGGAATTAAGACTTATTCTATGCATCTGCTCTCCCACAATATGGCGCTGGGAGAGGAGTAAACAACTTCTACACAGCTGCCTCTTGCCAGTTTGACTGACAAGCTGCAGGAGCTGATCCTGCTCCTGATTGAAGGAGAGCAGCGTGCTCGGCATGTGGGCAGCCGAGTTGGGATTGGTGGAAGAGGACTATAAAGGAGGAGAGAGACAACACGCACCAGGAACATCCAGATAACATCTGAGCAGCCCCCGAGAGAGCCGGCCGGCGGTGTGCCGCTCCCCCGCGGAAGTTGGGAAAGTTGGAAGGGGAGCCGCCCCTCCACGGAGGTGGAGGGGTCAGCAGCCAACCCGGGAAGGACCAGCAGCAAACCCGGGAAGGGCCGAGCAGACAAAAGAACAGCGCAGGGTCCTGTGTTGTTCCTCCGCGAATGGGGGAGCAACAATCTAGAGTAAAGAGAATATTTGTTTGCTTCTCAACAAAAACAGTGGCTAACGCATGGAGCACTCACTAAGTGCCAGACCCTGAGCTAGGCATTTTGTTTATGTTACTGTATTTGATCATGCATCAACCCTGATGATGTCATTTCTATTTTAAAGATGAGGAAGCTGAGGCATAGAGAGGTGAAGCAACCAACCCCCAAGTCCACAGCTATGAAGCTGCAGAAGCAGCACTGAATTCAGGAAGTCTGGGCGAAGCATTGGAATCATGCGACACAAGTATTTCTCCACGTCTGCACTAATGACAATGGGGGCTGGGTAACTCTGTTGTGAGACTGGCCTAGGCATTGTAGGATATTTACCAGCATCCTTTGCCCCTACCCACTAGATACCAGTAGTATTCTTTCCCCAGAGGGAGCAGCCAAAAGTGTCTCCAGACATTGTCAAAATTGCCTCCTAATGAGAGCAACTCATTGGCATTACAAGTCCCCACAGTCTGGCAGTGGCCACTATCACAGTTCTGATCAGCAGTTCTCCCTGGCTTCCTGAGTTATAAAGGATGATGCTGTGTTTAGGCATTACTAATCTAATATAGATACAATTCTCAGAAAGCTCCAGGATCATAGTAGGCTCAAATTAAGTATTGACCCTTACTCTTCCTGTTTTGGTTGTTCATTGGAAAGATAACTTAGCAGGGTGGAATGGAGGAGGCTCTGTGGTAGACACCAGACACTATGAGGAGTGATTGTGCCCATTCTTACATAATCAAGACCACAGCTGCAGAGAAAATGTTGAGCCTAAGTGACCAGCTCCAGCTGTGATGCCCAACGGTGGCAGATTTGTAAACAAAATTAAAATATTAGTTTTGTTCAGGCAGAAAATAAAATGATCAGGAAAAAATTAATTAAATAACTGAAATTAATTTCAGTTAAGTCATTCTGAGACCGTAATACTTTTCCCATTCTTGCAAGCAATCTTTTTTCTTGGCGTTCTGGATGGTTCCCGCCATAGCACAGTCACCCCTGGACTTTCTGGAGCATGTCTCATGCCAGGTAATGGCTTGAGGTAGAGTAAAGGTAGGGAGGTCTGCGCCGGAGAAGGAAAAGAAGACCAGAATGGTGTGCGAAGGGTATCATCACATTTTGTTGACCAGTTATTTGTAGGGAATGAATCAACAAGTAGGCAGCCATCAAATGACCAAAAGAAAGGGAAGCCAAAGTTAGGGAGTCTGGAGTGCCGACTCTCCTGTGTGAGCTCAGCGTTGGAATTCATTCCAGAAACAACCACAAAAGGCTTTCAGGAAATGTAGAGTCACTTAGACACCCTCAAGACAATGTGTGGACTGCCAGGCACTATGCACCCTAAGACCACTAAAACAAAGACTGACAGATGGTCAGGGTTCAATGGCATCGGGTATTTTTTTTTTTTTTAAGATTTATTTTGTTTATTTGAAAGACAGAATCACAGAGAGAGGTAGAGACAGAGAGAGAGGTCTTCCATCCGCTGGTTCACTCCCCAGATGGCTGCAACAGCCGGAGCTGCGCCAATTCGAAGGCAGGAGCCAGGAGCTTCTTCCAGGTCTCCCACATGGGTACAGGGGCCCAAGGACTTGGGCCATCTTCTACTGCTTTCCCAGGCCACCGCAGAGAGTTGGATCCGAAGAAGAGCAGCCAGGACTAGAACCAGCACCCATATGGATTGCCGGCACTTCAGGCCAGGGCATTAATCCACTGTGCCACAGCGCTGGCCTCGGCTATTTTAAATTAAAAAAAAAAAATCACGAATCCAGAGAACTTGAGAACACAGGGCATGCAAAAATCTTTGACCATGTTCATTAAAAGTGTTGTGTTAGCTTTGTAATGTTCACAGACTTGGAAAGTCTGGATGTTTTGTAGGTTAGATAGTAAAAAAAATTCAATTCGGCTGGCGCCGCGGCTCACTAGGCTAATCCTCCGCCTTGCGGCACCGGCACACCGGATTCTAGTCCCGGTCGGGGCACCGGATTCTGTCCCGGTTGCCCCTCTTCCAGGCCAGCCCTCTGCTGTGGCCAGGGAGTGCAGTGGGGGATGGCCCAGGTGCTTGGGCCCTGCACCCCATGGGAGACCAGGAAAAGCACCTGGCTCCTGGCTCCTGCCATCGGATCAGCGCGGTGCGCCGGCCGCAGCGCGCCGGCCGCGGCGGCCATTGGAGGGTGAACCAACGGCAAAGGAAGACCTTTCTCTCTGTCTCTCTCACTGTCCACTCTGCCTGTCAAAAAAAAAATAAATAAATAAATAAAATCAATTCACTGAAATTAAAGGACCACCTTTCCTTGGGCCCAGTTAGCCTCCCTGGCTCTCGGTGTTTTTATATGAAAGCACAACCAGATTGTACATGGCTTTACCCTTGTCACATCTGATATGTAATCTAGTTCTCCTAACACCCAGAGAGGGGTTATTTCTGTCCTTAATCAACAGGTGAAGTTGAAGCTCAGAGAAACTTAGTCACTTAAGCAAAGGCAGGTACACTATGGTTGTACACCAGGCTCTTTAGTTCAAGTCCTGTGCTCTTCTGCTATCCTCCTCCTGAAAAGTAGAGGTCACCACTCTGAGGCCTCTTTCAGCTCCAAAATGCCAGGATTCTCGTGGGCTCTGTGTTTTTTTTAAAGATTTATTTGAAACTCAGCGTTACGGCCAGTGCCGCGGCTCGCTAGGCTAATCCTCCGCCTGTGGCGCCGGCACCCCAGGTTCTAGTCCCGGTTGGGACACCGGATTCTGTCCTGGTTGTTCCTCTTCCAGTCCAGCTCTCTGCTATGGCCCGGGAGTGCAGTGGAGGATGGCCCAAGTCCTTAGGCCCTGCACCCGCATGGGAGACCAAGAGGAAGCACCTGGCTCCTGGCTTTGGATCAGCACAGCACGCTGGCCGCAACATGCTGGCCATAGCGGCCACTTGGGGGGTGAACCAACGGAAAAAGGAAGACCTTTCTCTCTGTCTCTCTCTCTCTCACTGTCTAACTCTGCCTGTCCAAAAAAAAAAAAAGAAAAAAAAAAGAAAAAAAAAAAAAAAAGAAAGAAACTCAGAGTTACACAGAGAGAGCGAGAGAGCAGAGGCAGAAAGAGAGAGAGAGACAGACAGAGAGAGAGAGAGAGAGAGGTCTTCCATTGGTTGGTTCACTCTCCAACTGGCCACAATGGCCGGAGCTGAACCGATCCAAAGCCAGGAACTAAGAGCTTCTTCTGGGTCTCCAAAATGGGTGCAGGGGCCCAAGGACCTGGGCCATCTTCTACTGTTTTCCCAGGCCATAGCAGAGAGCTGGATAGGAAGTGGAGCAGCCAGGACTCGAATTGGCACCCATATGGGATGCCAGCACCGCAGGTGGCAGCTTTACCAGCTATGCCACAGCACTGGCCTGGGGCTTTGTATTTTTAAAAGCACATCTTTCCATAAATGGTCTTCCTCTTCTTCTTGGACAGAGTTTGTCTTAGTCCATTTTGACTTGCTATAATAGAGCACCACAGCCTGGGCAATTTACGAAGAAAACAAATTTATTTCTCAAACTTCTAGAGCCTACAAAGTCCAATATCATGTGAAATAGCCCCAGCCAGTGAGACCCAGGCCAAAATCACCTCTTCCGTAGATTCTGTAGTCTTTTGATCCTGCCTCTAGCAAGATTAGCTATTTGGGGTGACCATTCTATTTGTTTCATCATGCATCCATTTTGTAAATTTTATTTAAGTTATGCAGGCTTCATGTATGTCATTTATACAGATTTAGAACATAGTGATACTTCCCCTACTAGCTTCCTTCCCACCCACACTCCAGCCTTACTTGTTCCTCCCTCTCACATTCCCACTCTTAAGTTTTACAGGGATCTATCTCAGTTTGCAAAATGATTGTATAGTTAACCTTATGCTAAGTAAAAGAGTTCAACAAGTTTTAGGAAGAAAGAAAAAAAAACACCACTGTTCCTCAGTGGAAGTGACAAGGGCTGTAAACAATCATCAAATCTCAAAATGTCCATTTCACTACATTACATTTCAGGTACTCTGTTAGTTACCTCGGATCAGGGAAACATATGATATCTGTCTTTTGGGACTGGCTTATTTCACTAAGTATAATGGTTTCCAGTTGCATCCATCGTTGTGAGCAAAGAGAAAGATTTCTTTTTTTTTTTTTTTTTTTACAGCTGAGTAGTACTCCGTGGTGGATATATACCATAATTTCTTTATCCAATCAACCCAGTCTGGGTTGATTCCATATCTTAGCTCCTGTGAAATGTGCTGCAATGAACATGGGTTATAGATAACTCTCTCATATGCTAATTTCTTTTGGTTTGGGTAAATTCCCAGGAGTGGCATGACTAGGTCATATGGTAGGTCTATATTCAGATTGCTGAGGTATCTCCATACTGTCTTCCACAGTGACTGCACCAGTTTACATTCCCAACAACAGTGAACCCTGGAATAAATTTAACCAAGGATGTCAAAGATCATTACAATGAAAATTACAAAACACTAAAGAAATAGAAGAAGACATTAAAAATGGAAAAATCTTCCAGAATCATGGATTTAAGAATCAACATCATTAAAATGTCCATACTACCAAGAGCAATTTACAGATTCAATGCAATCTCAATCAAAATACCAATGACATTCTTCACAGATCTAAAAAAGAATGATGCTATAATTCATATGGAAACACAAGAGACCTGGAATAGCTAAAACAATCTTATACAACAAAAGTAAAGCTGGAGGCATGACAATACCTGATTTCAGAAAATACTACAGGGAAGTTATAATGAAAAACAGCCAGGTAGAACAGAACAGAAACTCCAGAAATCAATCCATGCATCTACAACCAACTTATGTTTGACAAAGGAGCTGAAATTAATCCCTGGAACAAGGACAATCTTCCTTCCTTCCTTCCTTCCTTCCTTCCTTCCTTCCTTCCTTGGCAGAGTGGACAGTGAGAGAGAGAGACAGAGAGAAAGGTCTTCCTTTGCCGTTGGTTCACCCTCCAATGGCCGCAGCCAGTGGGCTGCAGCCGGCACACCACGCTGATCCGATGGCAGGAGCCAGGTACTTCTCCTGGTCTCCCATAGGGTGCAGGGCCCAAGCACTTGGGCCATCCTCCACTGCCTTCCCTGGCCACAGCAGAGAGCTGGCCTGGAAGAGGGGCAACCAGGACAGAATCTGGCGCCCCGACCGGGACTTGAACCCGGTGTGCCAGTGCTGCAAGGCGGAGGATTAGCCTAATGAGCCGCGGCGCCGGCCAACAATCTCTTTAACAAATGGTGCTGGGAAAACTAGATCTCCACATGCAGAAGTATGAAACTAGACCCATACCTTACACCTTACACAAAAATCCACTCAAAAATGCATCAGAGACCTAAATCTATGACCCCAATACCATCAAACTGCTAGAGAATATTGGGGAAACTGCAAGACATTGGCATAGGCAAAAATTTTTTAGAAAAGACCCTAGAAGCACAGGCAATCAAAGTCAAAATTGACAAATGGAATTACATCAATCTGAGAAGCTCTTCATTGCCAAAGAAACACTCAGCAAAGAGGCAACTGACAAATGGGAGAAAATATTTGCTAACTATGCAGCTGATAAAGGGTTAACATCTAAAATCTATTAAGTACTCACAAAATGCAACAACAACAAAAAACAAACAACCCAGGTAAGAAATGGGCAAAGAACTTGAACAGGCATGTTTCAAAAGAGGAAATTTAAATAGCCAACAGACACTTGAGAAAATGCTCAGGATCACTAGCCATCAGGGAAATGCAAATCGAAACGATGATGGGCTTTCATCTCACTCCAGTTAGAATGGCTCTCATACAGAAATCAATGAACAACAAATATTGGTGAGGATGTGGGGAATAAGGTACCCACATCCATGTTTTATTTGTCTTCTTGTAATGGTGCTGAACTCAAAATAAGTATTCAATAAGTGTTTGCACAAATGCAAAACTGTTAGAAAGACTTATTCAAAATGAAGTAATAAGAGCAATCAAAGCATGTACTCTATCTTCGGTGCCTTCACTCCCTCCAACACCTTAATTTTATTCTGGTATCAGTTTATTTGTATCAAAATGAATTAATAATGTCAGTTGATTTATGGTGGGATTTATTAATTTCTTTAGGTTTCATATGAATCCTGATCTGTCCTATATAGCCCCTACGAAGCCCCCTGTACATAAGAAGTACTCAAGAAATCGATTTCTGTTCACAAACTAACAGTGCTGCTGGATGCACAGTATCTATATATGGGGCAACTATCTCACAAACTCGCAAGTGTTCATCAATGGCATGTTGTCACCTGCAGTCTAACAGGTTGATTAGTGATTACTCCTTATCCTAAGATGCTCATCTGTTCTGTGTCTAATCTTCTGAGGTTCGATTTCTATCTGGTTTCCAAAGAGATAGCTGGTCAATACAGAGGAGACGTGGATGGGAGAATGCCAAACAAGACTCCTCCTACACTCCAGTCATGCTCTAGGATATTTTCCTCTTTTCTAGGTTGCACTTTCCAATAACAGCTTCTTGGAATTAATACTTTTTTACTACCTGCCCTCAATACAGAATTAGGCAAGGCATGTTCACTGACAGATCAGCTAAGGAAATCTCAAATAGTGAGATTTACAGATAAATAGTCCACGGTCCCATGGAGGAAGGTAAGGTGGGCACAATGTGCGTCAATAGACACAGCTCAGCAGGGGCTTTCATATTACATGCAACCCACATACATAGCTGGGCCCATTGCTAGGCAGATGTGAAGTTCAAGTCTGTTTACACAGAGCACAATTTACTTCTCCTGTTTAAAGAATAGTATGTATGGAGTAATCAAACACACTTGTGTTTGATCCCAGGTTCCACAACTTTCTCACTATGAAGTTTGAGTGAATCATTTAACTTTTCTAAGTCTCAGCTTCCTCATAGATAAAATCAGAACACATTTCCTAGGATTACCCTGAAGACTAAATGAGATAATACAGGGATGATGCTTAGCACAGGAGTATGTGCTAAACTTTTTTTTAACTATTATCATCAACATTATATGACTGGCTTAAGACTCAAGGCAAGTTACTTGCAAAGAGAATTTCTAAACTAGAAAAATACCTCTGATCTGTTTTTTTCCCAACCTACTGGAGAGCCATGATTTCTCCTGAAATCTGTTGAAAATTAATTGAACACGTATTCAGGATGTTTCACAACTTGGGGGCACTGTGGAGGACTTGTGTTGCACATCTGCTTGTCATTGTTGTGCGGGAAGGCAGCTGGTATTGACAAACTCCTCTCTTGTGAGTCCTCTCAGCTGGTCTGGCGATGAACGTGTGTTGCCCATGGCTGTTCTTGAGACAGTCAGTTGATGCAATTTGGACTGTAAGCCCTGGAAAGTCTCCAAGGGCAGAGACCAAAACCCAGACATCTTGCTTCTTCTGCTCTCTGCTGAGATACAGAGCACAGACTGGAATCCCAGTAGGTGAGTAAGCAACATACTTGACAGCGCTGCGTGCAGCATGTATATCTTGCTGTATGACTCTGGACCTTCTCTTCTCTGTCCTGAGAATCCTGTTGCTTTCTTGTGTAGCTCAGAAGATAAGCACGTGCCATGGCATCACACTCTCCTGTGTCTGGGTTCTTCTCCACCAAGTATTGAAGCATGTACAACTTTAAACAACTTACCCTCTCGGGAGCTGGATAATGCAACTTCCCTATGAGACTGTGGCATCGAATGGTTTGACATGTGTAAAATAATTCACAGTGCCTGGCACATGCAAGGTGCCAAGCAAATAGTAGGGTTTTTCTTTAACTCCTTCATCCTCTCTGCGTAAGAAAACAAGACAGGATGAGAGACAAAGAATACTATCCCTCTGGGATATGGTTTTTAAAATAAGATTATTTAGATAAGGACAAGAGCCAAAATTTTCTGCAGGGTTATTTTAGAACAGGACAGGGGTTCTCAATTCAGGAAAAGTGAATGTTTGAAAGCCCTGTAGACCATC